GGACATTACTCATTGGCCTGATATTTAATAATCGAAAATAGTTGATTATACAGATAAAAGAGTATGCAAGTGATATAGTAGACGATTTATATCATACATTCGATATTGTATATTGACGTTGTCTAAAAGTTTATACATTAAAATGAATGATATGATTCATATTGAATTAATAGTTGTCGAAAATGACAAAACCCATGATAAATATATTTTATACTTTAAATGAAAAAGAAAGAAGACAAACAATATATATATATATGTCAAAATTATTTCTCTGATCAATGATTTTTAAATACAATTATAGATTGATCAAATAATTTTAATCATGAAAATGTGGATAGCTTTTATTAAATATATTATTTCTGAAGATTAGTGTGAATATCAACAATTTCGCTTGTCAGACTACTTCCTGTTTTTATATATCATCAATAAACAAGTGAAAAATGGTATGATGAAAAAAGATCGAAAAAAAAAGATCGAAGAAATAATATCGAAAAAATAAATTTCGAAAGAATAAGAGTTCGAAAAAATGAAATTCGGAAAAAGCCTCCATTCAGAAAAATAAAATCTCGAAAAACTGGAATTTCGAAAATTAATTTTTCGAAAAACCTCTATCACAAAAAATAAAATTTTCGAATTATTCAAAGTGTAAGATATCAGTTTCAGAACCAAATGTATGAATGTACCGTCTTCAGGGTGTGGGTGTGGGTGAGGGTGTGGATGTTGGTGTGGGTGAGGGTGTCGTTGTGATTATGAATATTTTATTTTATTCATAGCCACACTCAGATCCAAACCTACTTACATCTATTCGGAATTTTATTTTTACGACATTTAATTTTCGAAATTCTACTTTTTCGACATTTCGAAATTCGAAGTTTTAAATTTCAAAGTTTTTTTTTTCGAGATTTTTGTTATTCGATATTTAACGTTTCGATATTTTTTCGATCTTTTTCTTTTCGATCTTTTGTCAGCAATTCTGAAAAATCATTGTTTTTACCTTTTACCATCTGTCTGAATGTATTAAAAGTTTATCAGGAATATTTCCTTCCATTTTAGAATAAAAGATACATTCAAACTTTAATGTCAAGACATAATATCGAAGAAAGTCACGTGATGAATGAGAAAATTATCAGATAATTTAAATTATTATTTTATTTTTCGATTATATACTTGAAACAGATACAATTTTTAATCAATTCGTGCATCTGGAAAAAATCAATTCGACAATGGCATCCAAAATAAATCACAAAACAAGAATACATGAGCAACAATATAATAGAAAACTACAACATAAACAATAATAAAAAAAAAATCATCGAAAAAAAAATTATTGGCTCGTATAAGCCGGTAATAATGTATTGACTTTATTACCATGGACATTTTGGACAAAATAAATAAATTAATCTGTAGAAAACAAAAATCTCTTGCAGTCAAAGCAATAATATTAAAATAGTCGTGATTCATATATATATACATGTATAATTATACAAAAGTAAATATGAATTCAAGTAAAATGTCTAGAGAAATATAATATAATTTAAATGCATACTTATATGAAGAGCATACCTATATGCAAATCATTTTTTAAGTCCGAAATATAAACCAAGTACTAAACCAATTATTACAAGAATTATAATCGCTATTAAAATTAATATAATTTTTTTTCGTCGAGCTGCAGACTAAAAACGAAGATAATAAAATATAATTTGAATACATAATAAATAAATTACCTGATAAGTAACTGCTTGTTTTAATTGTACGGTAGCAGTAACTACATGGTTATCAGCAGCAACAATATTATTTTCGATGTTATCTAAACAAATATAGCGATTAGTCCAGATTTTTCTGAAGTAAAATAATCATCTCATTAACTTACCAATGATTTCTCCTTGTTCATGAACCAAATTATGAACATCTTTGAATAATTCATTGACTTCAACAATATTTCTCTATAAATAAAGTATGAGTATTTTTTTATAAAGATAAATCCTATACTTCAAGTTGCTGCAATTGATCACCACGTTCTCTTAAAGCCTGCATATCGACATCTTGTTCCATAGGTATAACAACCTGGTCTTGATATTGATTATCTGTATAAGCATGATTATCGAAACCAGATCCATTATTGACACTTTGTCGTCGATATGAAACAGCTCGTGCACGTTCAAGACTTTCTTTTTCTTTTCTAGCACCAACACGTTGTATGTCTTGAAAATGAGTTATTTTTGCAGTATAAGTTTTTGTTAAATTCTGAATTAACGATTGTTTTTGTCTCTATAAACAAATTTATTCATAAAATCTTTCTGACTTGTTTCTCTTTTTTAACTATTACCTCATCAGCTTCAGTTTTTATAGGGATTTTTCGAATTTCTTCAAGAGTATGATTTGTCTGTTGTATTAATGCTTTTGTATCATTTTGTAGACGAAGACTATCAAAAAAAGTAAAGTAAGATTGATATTCAATTACAAATTTTATTCAACTTACTAACGATCTCGTAATGGTTCACTATCTTCTTGTGTACCTAACTTTTGTACAAGTACATCAAGATCATTTGCTATTAATAATAAAATAAATAATAATTCAACAAAAAAATAGATACAAATCAACATACTATTGTTAGTGATTTTATTTAGATTCGATAAGACAGCATTATTTAAACGTTGAAAATCACTAGCACTTGCCACTAAAATTAAATATGAGGATATAACTTCTCTTTTTCCTTTCTATCTTACTTTTTAAATATCAAGTATTAATAGAATGGGTAGTCTGAAAGAAAAAAATAATCATAACATAATGCAAGATTAGCAAAAACATGAAATTACGATATATATATATATATATATATATATAGAATGTTACTCATTGTTCAAGAATAAAGAAAATGAATTTACTATTTGAGATTGTATTTGATCTCCTCATTTACAATGATTCATTATCTACAATATTCCGTAAATATGAGATTTTTTGAATTGAAATCAACATTCTTACTCATAGAAAAAATACTATTGTTGATGTTGTATTTTTTGTTATTGTAAAATGTGAGGACAAAATACAACATTATGCGAGCTACAATGTTATCGAGTCACTGGTAAAATATATTCACGTATCTAGCATGTAAATATTATAGTATTTATTAATAGACTCTCGATTTCATACTAGTTTACTTTTATCATTACTCATAATATCATAAAAGCGCCCACATATCTAGCAATGACTCATTTTTTAGTTTTATTGTCATTGAAAACTAGATGTCGCTGTAATTATAGAAAAATAAATTTAAAAGAATTAAAATATTAAAATCCATCGAAGAAAATTCTTTTTTTTTCTTAATAAATTTTATTTTTCAACACTGAAACATTAGCCAATTAAAATGAAAAGTATTTATCCCAATCAACACACAGCAGTCAGTCATTCAGTCAGTCATTTGGTTATTGCGTTATTGAACATAAAGCGCCATTTCGAACGTAAATCTAAACAATTAAATGGATACTGGAGATTTAAATTTACCTGCATATAAATATCAACTTGAACAAGTAATTATTAGTTTATTTTTATATACATTAATTTTTACTTGACTATTTTCTTTTAGGTAGAAATAGCATTGAAAGCAAAACCAGATGATCCTGAACTACTCAAACTTAAAGTTGATCTTGAAGTAAGAATTTTGGTTTTTTCTAGTTATTTATTTTAATTAATAATTTTATTTAGGAAGTTATACAAATAACAGCTGAATTACTTGGTTGTGATCCATCCATTTTAAATTCAGATGAAACAGGAGCATCATCAACAACAAATTATGAAGCAGCATCTTCGAGTTATGCATCAACATCACAAGCAAATAATACAGCATCGACATCAACAGCTCGTACAGCTATTAAATGGAAAACAGGTGATCGATGTTTAGCACCATGGAATGAAGATGGAAAGTATGTGTTATTATTTTATTTCCATAGAATAATGAAGATTGGTTTATTTTTAAAAAAAAGAAAAGATACAAATATTCATATAGGAGAGCGGGGAAAAAAAGTTCAATTATGTCTATAGTACAAGTAAATATATACTGAGCAAGAGGAGGATTAACAATATGCTTCCATATAAATAAATAGCAATCGAAAATAATATTTGTTTGCGAATAGTATGTAAAATGAGAATTATTTTATAAATCTCGTTTTTTTTTCTCTTTATTTTTAAATAGGTACTATGAATGTACAATTGATGATGTACTTGATGATGGTACATGTACAATTGTTTTCGATGGATTTGAATCGGCACCATTAACTGTTGTTCGAGTTAGTATTTAAAAATATTAAAATATAGAATTGTTTATTTATTTGTTTTTGTAGGTGTCAAAATTAAAACCATTCGATCGAACACGTTCTGGTTTAAGTGGAATAAAATCAGCTGCTAATCGAGCTAAGACAAAGTAAGAATTTCTAGGAGAAAAAAAATATTGTTATTAATTTATTTTTATTGATTAGACGAGAATTAGAACAACGTTTACGTGAACTTAAACGTCGAAAGAAAGATAAGAAAGTTGCTAAATTAAAAGAATTCGAAGAAGAACGTGAAAAAGATAAAAAACGTTGGACAGATTTTAATTCAAAAGTAAGTTAAACACTAAGAAAATATATATATTCATTCTAATCAATTTCTTTTTATAGTTAACTAGTCGAACATGGAAAGGTGTTGTATCAAAATCAATGGTTAAAACTGATAAAAAAAACGAGCAATTACGTGGTACAACAAATGGCTATTTAGTTTCACATTATAAACCAGCTCAACCACGTCCTTAAATATTCTCTGATGTATAAAATCTGCGAAAGCGATGATTATTATTTCTTTTTTCGTGTACCTTTTCGTTCTTCGTTTTTGCGTTTAAATGTAATCTTTTTGTATGTGAAAAAAGAAAAGCACGAATAAAAAAACAATGACGTTTACATGTTATTCTAGATTTTTTTTCCTAAATTATCTCTTGTGGAAAATAACAACGATTGCTTGAAATATGCAGAGTACTCGTCTGTTAATTACCGCACAACGTTGTTCATCGGCGTCTAAAATTAATCGTTTATTGAGACGATGTCTCACTACTTCTAACTCAACAACTAAAGCAACTTTTCATAAGTGAGCATATATTAAAATGTTATTCTAATCTTAAATATAATTCCTATAAACAAATCATTTGTTTTTAGCTCATCCTTATCTCTAGTCGATTCATCATCGCGTATTAATGGTCGATTTTTATCACTACCAAGATGTGGTATAATCACTGTTCGATATGCTTCATCCGGTAATTTACCATCTCATAAAAGAATTACTCTTCCAGCATTATCACCAACAATGGAAACCGGTACATTACGATCATGGTCTAAGAAAGAAGGAGAAAAAATTGTTGAAGGTACAAATCTATGTTAAAGTATCTCACGAGATAATATATTTATTTTTTTCAGGTGATATATTGGCTGAAATTGAAACTGATAAAGCAACATTAGGATTTGAAGCAGGTGATGAAGGATATCTCGCAAAAATTATTCTACCCGGTGGTAGTAAAGATGTACCTGTTGGAAAAGTAAATAATAAATGATTTGATATTTTGTTTTTTTTATTTGAATATTTAATGATTTATAGTTATGTGCTATTATTGTTGAAAAAGAAGAAGATATCGCTGCATTTAAAGATTTTAAAGATGATGAAAGTAAATCATCAACAAAAAAGACATCAGCCGATGAAGAAGCCAGTTCAGCTCCAAAAACCGAAAAGAAAGAAAAGGAATCGACGAGCAAGACAGAACAACAACAACAACAACAACAACAAACAACATCAACTTCAAAAAAAGACAAATCACAAGAACAAAAATCTCAAAGTTCGAGTGAAGGTAGCAGAACTGCAGCATCACCTTTAGCTAAAAAACTAGCTCAAGAAAAGGGCATAGATCTTGAAGTAAATATTCAATTTTTTACTTTTATTTCAATAGATATTAATATTTCATCTTTTTTCAATAGTCAGTTCAAGGTAGTGGTCCTAATGGTCGAGTTGTCGCCGAAGATGTTGAGAAATTTATAAAAGAAGGTGGTGCCAAAGTAAAATCAGAAACTAAAAAAACCAAAGATACTCAACAAACTCCATCTAAAACTACCAAAAAAGATAAAGAAACAGGAACACGTACTGGTGGTTATGATGAACAAAAAGTATCCGAAATACGATCAGTAAATAATCTGTATAAAAATTTATCCCATATCGAAATTTTTCTAATTTCATAGGAATATGCACGTCGTGTAACAGAATCAAAGACTACCATACCTCATTATTATTTAACTATCGAAGTTCAAGTAGATGAAATACTCAAGTATATTGATTAAAAATTAAATTCGAATTTTTTATAATTTATTTTTCTATTTAGATTACGTCAAAATCTCAATAATATATTAACACCAAAATCAAAAGATTCAAAAGAAAAAGCACGTGGTATAACAATAAATGATTTTATTATAAAAGCAGCTGCACTTGCATGTAAAAAACGACCTGAAACAAATAGTGTTTGGATGGATAAATCAATTCGACAGTAATGATTATCAATACTTTTTTTTCTTTTAAATAAATATTTATATTAGATATGAAACAGTTGATATCAATGTAGCAATGGCTACTGATGCTGGTATTCTTATGACGCCAATTGTTCATAATGCTGATCAAAAAGTAAAATTTTGAAAATTAAAAATAACTTATTTTTTTTCTATTGATTTTATCTAGGGTCTTTCGGCTATTAGTAAAGAGATTTCAGAATTGAATGATAAAGCAAACAGTGGAAAATTGAATGATGATGAACTTGAAGTGAAACAATAAAAATTTTATTCTTCTTTTTATTTTGTTTTATATTATAGTCGGGAACATTTACAATTTCTAATTTGGGAATGTATGGTGTAACAAATTTTAGCGCTATAATTTATCCTCAACAAGTATATTTATATAGAATAAAATTTTTAAACTATTAATAAAAAATATCTATTCATTTATTTTTCTAGTCAGCTATTTTAGCTATTGGTGGTGTTGAAACACGACTTGTACCTGATAAAGAATCTCCAAAAGGGTATAGATTAGTTTTTATAATTTGTTAATTAATTCATTTTTACCTATTAGATTTCGTCAATCAACTATTCTCAATGTGACATTAGCATGCGATCATCGTGTTATCGATGGTGCCGTTGGTGCGCAATGGTTACAAGAATTTAAACAATTTCTTGAACATCCCGGATCAATGATTTTATAAACAATTTTAGGCTATAAATTGTCATGTCTTGTCTTCTTTCTCTCTTCCTTTTTCTATGCACCTTTTTCTTAACCATCAGTTGTAGCCTAGCTTTGTGATATACTAATCCTATGGCGTGCATATTCTATCTCCGTTTATTTTTTAGAAAAAAACAAACAAACAAACAAACATTAGAACATCTTGTCTTGTTTATTTTTTATAAAGTAGTTTTATTTTCTGTATAATTTATCAAAGTCATTAATAGAATTAGACATGGAATGAGTTCAAAACCAAATCAAACATCTCGTTTAGTCTTCATTATATTTCCAATGAAAAAGTAGGATTTTATGAGACAGACATGGAAATTAAGATATTAAAACTAATACTCATAACATAGATAAATAAGATCAAAACGGAGAATATCAAATATGTTATATATCTAAATACAATATATAAAAATATAGATTAAGATTTTCATTTATAACTAAATGATAAATCTGTAATTTCAGATTATAATTTTGTTAACTAAAAATATTTATTTATAATGGCTACAAATGCGTTTTCGCGTACAATCTATTCTAAAATACGTCCATTATTATCTGCAAGTATTGAATCACGAAATATATTAGTTTGTAGTTATCATGAAAAAGTCATTGATCATTATGAAAATCCTCGAAATGTTGGATCATTTGATAAATCCGATACAAGTGTTGGTACTGGTCTTGTTGGAGCACCAGCATGTGGTGATGTCATGAAATTACAAGTAATAAAAATCTTTAAGATTGGATTCATTTGTAATTATTGAATTAATAGATTAAAGTAGATGAAAATGGAAAAATTATTGATGCGAAATTTAAAACATTTGGTTGTGGTTCAGCTATTGCTTCATCATCATTAGCTACCGAATGGATTAAAGGAAAATCAATTAATGAAGCAGGTACAATTAAAAATCAAGATATTGCGAAAGAATTATGTTTACCACCAGTTAAATTACATTGTTCAAGTAAAAGAAAGTTTGATTTTAATTTATAATATACGTATATTTATTTATTTTAGTGCTTGCTGAAGATGCTATTAAAGCAGCAATTCATGATTATAATAATAAAAAAACAAACAAGAAAAAGGAATGAAAACCTTCCATCAACCACCCACACTAATCCGTGTTTTGACATTCTTTCCATTTTTTATTTCAGCAAGTGTCTCTAATCTTCCTATGCAAAAAAAAATATCAATCTCATATTAAACTGTTATGAGTTTTAAAGAGACTTTTGAAAAGATTGTAAATTAATTACATGATTTATTTTTTTAAAAAATAAACAAGCGATTAAATACTATTAAAATGATTATATTGAAAAAATAACATCTCCTTAAGATAACGTGTATAATTAATAATAAAAAATTTCCTCATATTATTCTAAAAATAAATTCTTCCGATGGAATTATGCTAATAATATAATTTTAAAAAGTATAAATTTAGCACATATTTTTATTAATCTTTTTAGGTCAGACACGTCATTATAAGATAAGAATATATTTGATATTTATTAACAGCTGATAAGCTTGTTTTATTCTATTGCAACAAGTCTATTTTTAATAACTAAGTCTATAATGTGTTACAAAGAGATTTACTTTGAATTATATAATGACTATAAATAGACTAGAATACTCTAAGAACGTATTGAATGTAACATGACTACAATTTTAATCTATCATGTATTAATTTAATGTAAATAAAGTCAGTTGTAGGTCATACAAATAAAGTAATATGGAAGGATTTATTGATCTCGATTTCTTTTTTTAGGGAATGATACCACAAAAAAATTTTTAATTAAAAGATAGGGATTCATAGGTGGAGTAACGCAATAAAAAAAGGTATCTTTAAAACCAATTCACAATTTTTCGATGAAAAAAACCATATAAAATATTAACTAATATGTCTTCTTCATAAAAAACTTTCTAGAAAAAAAAAACTTCATTAACAGTTATTAAAATATTTTCATCATTGTGAAAAGTAAGAGAAATACTCGAACAATATACATACTCATTTTGTAAGTGCATGCATAGGATATGTAATTATAATTCACTGTCGTTTTTATCAGCTGTTTTCTAACGTATTCATAATAATTTATATAACCATTGTTTATTAAGAACAATTGAATGCGTGATTGTCTGACAGGATATTTTTTCTATTTATAAATATACCGTTAAAATTAAGAAGATTTATTTATATTTTCAATTGAAAAATAATCAAATAAATAGGAAACGTATTTTTTTTATTATTTAAATAAACAATGAATAAGTCATCTGACAAAAAAAATATAAATTCTCTAAAATTTTTATGCATAAAAATCTGCTGGTTCAAGTTTAATATTCGATGATGATGATGCTGTTGCCCATAAATCATTTGTTTCTTCATGTTGTATTGAATGTTGATGTTGTTCTTGTTGTGAATACTGTTGATGTTGTTGTTGCTGTTGTATACGATGTAATGGTGCTATTCGTTCAAGATCAACTGTTAAATATCGTTTATAATCAGGTGAATTTAATAAATCAAAACATTGTTCAGATAAACGATATTTATCTCCAATATCAAGTGTACCAAGTGTTTGAATATAACGATCATATTCAACACCAAAACGTCCTAAACGTTCAATAAGATCATCATCATTTTTTTCATTATTATTATTATTATTGTTATTATTATTTTCATCTTCTTTTAACATTGGAGCACATTTAACAAGAAGATCAACACGTCTTCTTGTTCCATCCACCATTTGTACACCTTGTCTTACCATAATAAGTAATCGATATTTTTTTAATTCTTCAATAACTGAATCAAGATATGCAGCATTACGTTTTAATTTCGAATTTGCATATACAGATGTACGTGTAAATGCAACATAGGGTAAAAGTAAAAGTTCATGAGCAAGTTCTAATGATTTAACATAGGAAGGATCAACAAATGTTTTTAAACGTTTTGATGCTGGCGATGTTGATCGTGGTGGAAATGATGATGTTGATGGTTGATGTAATATCCATGAACGATCAGCAATAGGTGTTTGATTTATTAATGTTGGTATTCTAAATAATAGAAAGAAAAAAAACAATCTTATAAATCAATTCTATATTCATTTTTTTTACTCTGGATTTGATGTTCCAGTATTTAATGTTGGTTCAAACATAATTTCAAATTGTTTTATACTTGTATTAACAAAATAAATAGCTGATTGAACAATAGCAACATTAATATTAACTCGTACTGTTGTTGTACTTCTTGTTTTCTCAATAATATGATTACAATTATCAAAAAATACTTTATCTGCTTGACCAAATGTATGAAATGTTCGTCGATAAACAATTAATGTTTCAATAGCTAATTCAATAACACGTAATGATGCTGATACACGTAAAACTTGTTCACGTGCTGATAAATATCTTGCCGACATACCTGAATGAGTATCTTCAAGTGATGTTGCTTGAAAAAAACAGAAATATTAGAAAATATGTATTCATTTTAAATCATCAAAAATCTACCTTTTAAATAAAGTGCATCAAGATAATCACACATAAATTGATTTGCTTGTGGATCATCAAAATAAAAATCAATTAAATTTGAACAATGACAATTAAGAACTATAATCCATTGTTCAAGTGATGGATAACGATTTGAATCAGATAATTTCGGTCGTCGACAAAACAAACGTGCTTTACTAGCTATAAATATCATTAACCAATCTGTATTATTTATAAGATAGTTATTATTATTATTCAAATTAGTGTTATTATTAAATTTAGTTTCAAGTATTTTTCGAATAAATTGTCCATTACTTGTTCCAATAATTGAATGAGAATTTTGTTTTTGTATATGTGCATATGTTCCATGTTCATCAAATTTATCTGATATACAAAAACCTGTTGGTGATGTTGATTCATCTGATCGACAAAATATATTAGAATTAAATGTATGTCGAGTATCATATTGTTGTCCTGTTTGACGTAGACATTGTACATTATTCATTGCTTGTTTTATATGTTCAACAAGTGATGAACGTTCATAACCTAATTAAAATTTTGTTTAGTTTAGAATATTAATTCATCAGAGACGGCCTACAATTATATTTCAAGGCTGTCTTCTCTGTTTTTCTTTTATATGAAGTTATTTCATCTACTTCTTCTTCTTCTTCCACTCAGACTCGGGTCAAAGAGTTCTATGAGAAAAGAGAAGAAGAGAAAAAATAACCTTCACGAGAGCGTTTTTTGAATTTTTTTTTTTCATAATGTATCTTTATTTAGCACCATATCTCTTTTGTTTTTTCCGCTATTTTAATTTATGATAACAGAAATAAACGTAAATCAAGTTAATAATTACTTTCATAACTCACTATATTTATAAAAAATCTGTGAGTTCCTACTCATTTATACTCTTTGACTCGTAAATTTCAAATCTATCTTTATCTTTAATAAATAAAATATTATATAATAATCGTATACTTAACGATGAATGTGTTTTATTATCTTATCATATATTGTAATTTAGTGTTAGTATTTTAAGCATCATATAGATAAAACTCAACTTGACCTATTTTCTTAAATTTTATTTCCGTGATGTTTTTTTTTATTTTTAAAGTATTACTAATAGATTTTCATATGATTTAAATATAAAAAGAATCTATTTCCGTCAAAATTTTGTTTCAATCTTCATTTATCATATAAAAATTAGATAAAAAATATGATTTTTTTTACCTGATCGCACAACTAATAATAAATGAAGATTGAGTTTATGTTTTAGTTGATTGTCAGCATAGACAAATGAAGTTGGTGTAAGATAATATGAAGTTAAAGCAAGTAAATGCATAAATAGGCCAATATTATCAAACATATAATAATCACTTAATGCATGAATCAATTCACACGTATCAGGTGATAAAACTCGACGTAGATCAAGTTGATAAGATTCATTAAGAACTATAAATGTTGAATCGAACCATTGCTCCATCGTACCAATATTTTCATCATCCATT